CATATATATAGATGAGCTGATATCGTTCAATAGAGGTCAACTAGCCAGTTCCCTTCCTCCTAGTTACCTCATATATATAGATGAGCTGATATCGTTCAATAATGGTCAACGAGCCAGTTCCCTTCCTCCTAGTTATCTCATATATATAGATGAGCTGATATCGTTCAATAATGGTCAACTAGCCAGTTCCCTTCCTATGGGTTACCTCATATATATAGATGAGCTGATATCGTTCAATAATGGTTAACTAGCCAGTTCCCTTTCTCTGGGCTACCTCATATATATAGATGAGCTGATATCGTTCAATAATGGTCAACTAGCCAGTTCCCTTCCTCTTGGCTGCCTCATATATATAGATGAGCTGATATCGTTCAATAATGGTCAACTAGCCAGTTCCCTTCCTCCTAGTTACCTCATATATATAGATGAGCTGATATCGTTCAATAATGGTTAACTAGCCAGTTCCCTTCCTCCTAGTTACCTCATATATATAGATGAGCTGATATCGTTCAATAATGGTCATCTAGCCAGTTCCCTTCCTCTTGGTAGCCTCATATATATAGATGAGCTGATATCGTTCAATAATGGTCAACTAGCCAGTTCCCTTCCTCTGGGTTGCCTCATATATATAGATGAGCTGATATCGTTCAATAATGGTCAACTAGCCAGTTCCCTTCTTCTGGGTTGCCTCATATATATAGATGAGCTGATATCGTTCAATAATGGTCAACGAGCGAGTTCTCTTTCTCTGGGCTACCTCATATATATAGATGAGCTGATATCGTTCAATAATGGTCAACTAGCCAGTTCCCTTCCTCTTGGCTGCCTCATATATATAGATGAGCTGATATCGTTCAATAATGGTCAACTAGCCAGTTCCCTTCCTCTTGGTTGCCTCATATTTATAGATGAGCTGATATCGTTCAATAATGGTCAACGAGCGAGTTCCCTTTCTCTGGGCTACCTCATATATATAGATGAGCTGATATCGTTCAATAATGGTCAACGAGCGAGTTCCCTTTCTCTGGGCTACCTCATATATATAGATGAGCTGATATCGTTCAATAATGGTCAACTAGCCAGTTCCCTTCCTCTTGGCTGCCTCATATATATAGATGAGCTGATATCGTTCAATAATGGTCAACTAGCCAGTTCCCTTCCTCCTAGTTACCTCATATATATAGATGAGCTGATATCGTTCAATAATGGTTAACTAGCCAGTTCCCTTCCTCCTAGTTACCTCATATATATAGATGAGCTGATATCGTTCAATAATGGTCAACTAGCCAGTTCCCTTCCTCTTGGTAGCCTCATATATATAGATGAGCTGATATCGTTCAATAATGGTCAACTAGCCAGTTCCCTTCCTCTGGGTTGCCTCATATATATAGATGAGCTGATATCGTTCAATAATGGTCAACTAGCCAGTTCCCTTCTTCTGGGTTGCCTCATATATATAGATGAGCTGATATCGTTCAATAATGGTCAACGAGCGAGTTCTCTTTCTCTGGGCTACCTCATATATATAGATGGGCTGATATCGTTCAATAATGGTCAACTAGCCAGTTCCCTTCCTCTTGGCTGCCTCATATATATAGATGAGCTGATATCGTTCAATAATGGTCAACTAGCCAGTTCCCTTCCTCCTAGTTACCTCATATATATAGATGAGCTGATATCGTTCAATAATGGTCAACTAGCCAGTTCCCTTCCTCCTAGTTACCTCATATATATAGATGAGCTGATATCGTTCAATAATGGTCAACTAGCCAGTTCCCTTCCTCCTAGTTACCTCATATATATAGATGAGCTGATATCGTTCAATAATGGTCAACTAGCCAGTTCCCTTCCTCCTAGTTACCTCATATATATAGATGAGCTGATATCGTTCAATAATGGTCAACTAGCCAGTTCCCTTTCTCCTAGTTACCTCATATATATAGATGAGCTGATATCGTTCAATAATGGTCAACTAGCCAGTTCCCTTCCTCCTAGTTACCTCATATATATAGATGAGCTGATATCGTTCAATAATGGTTAACTAGCCAGTTCCCTTCTTCTGGGTTACCTTATATATATAGATGAGCTGATATCGTTCAATAATGGTCAACTAGCCAGTTCCCTTCCTCTTGGTTACCTCATATATATAGATGAGCTGATATCGTTCAATAATGGTCAACTAGCCAGTTCCCTTCCTATGGGTTACCTCATATATATAGATGAGCTGATATCGTTCAATAATGGTCAACTAGCCAGTCCCCTTCCTCCTAGTTACCTCATAAATATAGATGAGCTGATATCGTTCAATAATGGTCAACTAGCCAGTTCCCTTCCTCCTAGTTACCTCATATATATAGATAAGCTGATATCGTTCAATAATGGTCAACTAGCCAGTTCCCTTCCTCCTAGTTACCTCATATATATAGATGAGCTGATATCGTTCAATAATGGTTAACTAGCCAGTTCCCTTCATCTGGGTTACCTTATATATATAGATGAGCTGATATCGTTCACTAATGGTCAACTAGCCAGTTCCCTTCCTCTTGGTTACCTCATATATATAGATGAGCTGATATCGTTCAATAATGGTCAACTAGCCAGTTCCCTTCCTCTTGGTTACCTTCCTAAACTATAATATAAGAAACAAGTGAAACCTCATCAACTGTTTCTATAATTATTTAAATTTATGCAGAAGGATTTGGAGTGACAATAAAGAATGGCTTTAAGGTTTCAATTGTCAACTTTCCCTTTATGTCGAGGGATATTCCAGTCGCTAGACTTTGGTGTCTACATATTATCACTTATGAGGTAATATCGAGAATGCTCTTTCTATGAAGATTTGATAGATTGGTGTTTGTGGATCGATCTGTCGACAGACTGCTGCCGCATATATGGAGTATTGCTTAGTCACGCGTTAAACGACAAGGAAAACCATAGTCTGATACATTGTATTCGTATGAAATAAGCGCCCTCTGTCCAGTGACAGTTGAGTTTTTTTTACAATGTAATATTACAATTACAAATTCGCGTTGTGTAATTTTTAGATGAAACTGTAATTTATGTGGTTGGACACTCACACAAACTCCATAAGGGTTCCTGGCTATAACATTGTAGGCAAGAACAAGATAACAAGTACTGAAGTTCAGAAAGTGTAACAAGTTTTATGAATACTAGTATTAAAACGAGAGTTGAGGAATCAGCTCGCTTAGCAGAGGTACCACTGTACACGACCAACCCAAACAACAACACAAGACCTGAGTGAATAAACAGTCCGTTTATTAGACAGCCACAGAATCGTATATAAAATCAGTCAACAATAGAATGTTTACAATCACTTATTAGATAAGGTTTACAATCAGTTATAGAGGTACATACACTAGTATGCGAAGAACATTTGATGAACATGATATGGAACCATTACACAAGATACGAGGAGCGTTCAATAAGTTTTGCAACTTCAATATAAGACCAAGTCGCACAATGTCTTTTGCACTTTTATTTTTCAATATAATCTCCATTCACCTCAATACACTTATTCCATTTGTCACATGCTTTTAATACCACTTTTATAGAAATCCGCAGATTGGCCCTCTAACCACGCCTCTGTGGCAGCATGTATGTCCTCGTCATCCTGGAAACGTCTTCCACGTAAGGCAGATTTCATTTGCCGCAACAGGAAATAGTCACTGGTGGCTAAGTCTGGGCTGCAGGGTGGGTGATTTAACTGCTCGAATCCATATTCACATATGGCGGCCTGTGCAATTATCGATTTGTGAACCAGAGCGTTGTCATGCAAAAGTAGAATACCACATGTTAACATCACACGGCGTTTCTGGCGAATAGATTTTCGCAATTCTTTCATTACATTAGCATAATACTCTCCATTGATTGTTTGGTGGCATGTAATCAATCAGTAATATGCCTCTTGCATCCCAAAATATGGTGGTCATTACCTTGCCAGCCGATGGTTGAGTGCGAAACTTCCCCGGAGGCGGAGGATTGGCGTGCTTCCATTGCATGGATTCCAATTTAGATTCTGGGTCCCAGTGGTGGATCCATGTTTCATCACCTGTCACTGGACGAGAAAGAAATCCGGCTTCATCAGCCGTATAGAGATCAAGGAGGTCTCGACAACTTTCAGTTCTCTGATGGCGATCTTGAGCTCTGAGGTTTCTAGGTACCAATCTTGCAGATACCTTGGATATACCAAGATGCTCATGAATAATGGTTCCAACTGTTCGGTCAGGCAAAATTCTTCTTTCTATAGCAGCAATGGTTTCCGGTTGGGTGGCATCTGAAGGCCTGCCTGACCTTGGGTCATCGTCTATGGACTCCCTACTCCTTTTAAACTGTAGAGACCAACGGCAAACTGTGGAATAGTCAGGAGCATCCTTACCCATCACTTTACACATGCGATCATGGATTCGCTTGCTTTGCATCTCTCCTTGGTAAGGAATTTAATTACAGCACGTTGTTCATGTTTGAGAGAATCCATGATTGCGACCACCCTCAGGTGAATGAAGCCATCACATCTAACTTACTGCTGTGTCTGGAACTTGTTATGACACGTGTCAACCTGATGTTAGGACTAGTGTCACACCTGCCACAAGTTGACATTGTTTGTGTAACACAAATGCCCAAGTTGCAAAACTTATTGAACGCCCCTCGTATGTACAACGTTAGTCACGATACATATTCAAAGGCACACAACGTTATACAACAGTTTACCTATGATTGAATAAAGTAAACCCGACAAACTCTAGATAATACATTAGTGAGCATTCACACAAGATACATTCAGTTCAGCAACAAAACATAGTCCAAACAGTAAACAACGTAGTACAGTTAACCGAGTTGGCATAATCTATACACAGAAGTAGTACAATGGGAATATCTAAGATATACACTCAGTTTCTAATTAAACTTGCAGGTATTGCCAAGGGTAATCGCATATAGTTAAGATTTAACATAGTAAAAAATTGTAAGGTTTCTTACCTGAGTGAATAAACAGTCAGTTTATTAGACAGACACAGAATTATTGGTGACTGTCTGTCCGTATTTATACCTATTCTGGCAACTACAGATAATCTCATTGATTGATTAAAACTGACGATAAAGTTGTTATTGCGAACTTTAGTATCGCTATCTGGACAGAATTATATAATTTAGTTTGACCGTGGCATTGATGACAAAGGTGTTTATGAGTAAGAATAGTAAGAATAATAGATTACCAGTTTCTAGTATGCAACGAATGTACACGTGGTACGGGTGATTTGATAAGGGTGGATGATAAAGATATTAACGTCTGACTCTATCTGACCAGCACCATGAGAGATGCAGGTCCTGTCCGTTATGCGTTATCGTGTTTACCCTTGGCAGTCTAAAGATAATAGAACGTGGCCGGTAGTAGAAATATTACCTTATTTCACAATTCCCAACTCTCAATATGTGACATTTAACGTGATAAAATATTTGTCAAACTTTGTTCATTTTCCCCAGGTTAATAGTGGTATGACAATCCAGACAACGTAGCTTTAAATAAGTACATGATCCAACTAAGCACTAAGCTAAATTCCTTTAAACTCCATCCCTGGCAATCTTTTCTAAATGTGTTCTAATGTTACCAAACTAATTACCTAACCTTCGATATTGCCAATCTATGTAAACCAACTTTCCTATGTTTCCTAAGCTAAAGGTGTAACGGGCATAAGGTAAGACTCCAACACTCTGCATAAGTTATGAATTGATCTTCAACATTCGGCTACCCGACAAAGAAAATACAACGACCATACAGCGAACCATATAAGGGCTCACTGCTCACGGGCTCACTGCTCACTGCGGTATTCTTCAAATCATATGTCACTTATAAGGTGATCTTCTGTACCTGAAATAATGCTGTGGTTGTTTTCTAAAGGGACCTAATACAAAGCGAATATACCGCAGAACGTAAAACAATATTGACCAACTCACTCACTAATGGAAACCAGAAGTAACAGAGGATGTTATTCCATACCGATTATTACATACTATAATGAACTAGTCATCCAAACTAACTAAATATTAAATAACTAGAGGATATTTATGTCAATTATATCCATGCATAAGTGAATAAATGAAATGTTTTTTAATTGAGAATCTAAACCTGCAGAAATAGGATTGAGCCAATTGGCAAATCCTGTCATAGTTATTTAGGATGCTATGTATTCTTTGGCCGACGGACAAATTTGCTGAAATGTTTAATAGGTGCAGCTAATCTTTCCATTTTGTGAGCTTCACTCGTCTGTGTACTTCTTTTCTCATTTTCTTTTCATAAACTTGCATAAAATATTTCATTAAATATAAAGGACAGCCTCCATACAAACAAACTATACAGAATTGTTCTATGTCAAATAGTTTGATTCGGGTGATATCGGGAATTTCGTGTCCATATCGCCGCAGATAGCCGCAGATCATCCGCGACTTATAACCCACGTTTGCTGAAATCCTCATTTTAAGCCTTGATTGGGCAGGAAGTACGTTTCTATAAACATTCACTTCAGCGGAGATACCGTCATCAAATAAGATGTTTAAATCAGAGACAAGTAGTTATGGTTGGCCAACCAGAATAGAGTATCACAACTAAAGTGCTAAACGATCATACATTGTTGACAAGCCCAACATGTTGTCATATTAAAGGTATTCAACTCTTTCCATAGCAAAGCGTTCCTCGTCGGACTTAAGCAATTTGAACTTAGCGACCTCCACATCTCTCTTGCACTTGACAAACCATGTCACCAGTTCCTTTCCTAAGGCATTGCATAGAACCTCATCCTTTTCCAGCTCATCCAGAGCTTCTGCCAGGGAAAGAGGGAGGGATTCGTCGTCCTTTGTTTTGCCCGGGGGTGGGCACTCCATCTTTTTAATTACGCCGTCCAGTCCAGCAGCAATGGTAGACGCCAATACGAGATACAGATTGCTCTTTCCGCCAGGTAGTCTGTTCTCAAGGTATGTTCTTGAAGGTCCATCGTTTTTTGCGCGAATGCATGCATATCGGTCCTCTATTCCCCAACAGATGGTTGATGGATAACCAAATTTACCCAGGTTCCTATAGCAGTTGACAGTTGGGTTTGCAAAGGCACAGAGAGCTTTACTGTGTTTCAGGATACCGGCAATCCATCTTTTGGCGACTGTAGACAGCTTGTCTGGAGAACATTCGTCATAAAATATGTTTTCACCAGATCTATTCCATAGCGAAAAATTTAAATGTGTGGAGAGCCCCATCTGATTATAGTATGGATGGGACATGAAGGTGATTTTAAAACCCTCCAAATCTGCCATTTCCAAGAGACCTTCCCTCAGGCTAAAGGCCATATCCGGGCTCTCGATTCCATATTTGGGTTTTGCCACAGCTTCAAAAAGCCCAGGTCCCATTTCGACATGATACCTTTCAACATCTATCTTGGATTCTTGAAAATGCCTATCAAAGTGGAATAACAATTTGCTATGGTTGTTAAATACCCTGTTGCTGTACATATCGTCTCCTGCAAAAACTGGCTTCAATGTATCATTGTCAAGGAGTATAAATTCAATCTCATGACCGGAATACAAATCAAATCCAAGATCACCCAACCTCTGAAGCTGCTGTCTTGCTACATACCGAGGGCACGCATCTTGTGGAGAGTTGTCTTTCTTCCATCGAGACTCACACAAGACTTCAGCAACCTTTACTCCGTCCGGAGCCCAGGGAATGGACCTCAGTGTGTCAGCGTCAGGAAAGATCAACATATTGCCAATATTATAGTTCTTCTCATGCACTATGGTAGTTATTTCTGTTCTCGGGCCAAATACCAAAGTGTCTGCAAAGAAACGAAGGTACATCATGAATTGTGCGATAAAGACTAAAACGCTTGTGATCCTAAAAAGGACACTGAACGAGTATTAGGTATCCTGGCATAGCTAGAAGTGAGTGGGGCATACTGAGATAATCATTATCATTGATGCCTTTACCTTTAAACAGTTAGTGAATAATTCCTTGCATTGTTAAACATGATGACAAGTCCCAACATCATTTCCAATATTCATGTGTCACATACATGTATTTCTGCATAATATATTTTGGAGTGAGGCGCCTCTATCCTTAGTTTCGACATCGATGTATTGCCATCCGGCCATCGAAATTTGCAAAACATCGATATTGCGAAAAATCATTACATACCTAATGGTCATACTTCTGCAAGAACACTCAATGTCATCCCTTATGATCATACTTCTACAAGAACACTCAATGTCATCCCTAATGGTCATATTTCTACAAGAACACTCAATATCATCTCTAATGGTCATACTTCTACAAGAACACTCAATGTCATCCCTTATGATCATACTTCTACAAGAACACTCAATGTCATCCCTAATGGTCATACTTCTACAAGAACACTCAATGTCAACCCTTATGATCATACTTCTACAAGAACCCTCAATGTCATCCCTTATGATCATACTTCTACAAGAACACTCAATGTCATCCCTTATGATCATACTTCTACAAGAACACTCAATGTCATCCCTAATGGTCATACTTCTACAAGAACACTCAATGTCATCCCTTATGATCATACTTCTACAAGAACAATCAATGTCATCCCTTATGATCATACTTCTACAAGAACACTCAATGTCATCCCTTATGATCATACTTCTACAAGAACACTCACTGTCATCCCTTATGATCATACTTCTACAAGAACACTCAATGTCATCCCTTATGATCATACTTCTACAAGAACACTTAATGTCATCCCTTATGATCATACTTCTACAAGAACACTCAATGTCATCCCTAATGGTCATACATTTACAAGAACACACAATGTCATCCCTTATGATCATACTTCTACAAGAACACTCAATGTCATCCCTTATGGGCATACTTCTACAAGAACACTCAATGTCATCATTTATGATCATACTTTTACAAGAACACTCAATGTCATCCCTTATGGTCATACATTTACAAGAACACTCAATGTCATCCCTTATGATCATACTTCTACAAGAACACTCAATGTCATCCCCTATGGGCATACTTCTACAAGAACACTTAATGTCATCTCTAATGGTCATACTTCTGCAAGAACACTCAATGTCATCCCTTATGGGCATACTTCTACAAGAACACACGATGTCATCTCTAATGGCCATACTTCTACAAGAACACTCAATGTCATCCCTGATGGTCATACTTCTGCAAGAACACATGATGTCATCTCTAATGGTCATACTTCTGCAAGAACACACAATGTCATCTCTAATGGTCATACTTCTACAAGAACACTCAATGTCATCCCTTATGGTCATACTTCTACAAGAACACTCAATGTCATCCCTTATGGGCATACTTCTGCAAGAACACACAATGTCATCTCTAATGGTCATACTTCTACAAGAACACTCAATGTCATCCCTAATGGTCATACTTCTACAAGAACACACAATGTCATCCCTTATGATCATACTTCTACAAGAACACTCAATGTCATCCCTTATGGGAATACTTCTACAAGAACACTCAATATCATCTCTAATGGTCATACTTCTGCAAGAACACTCAATGTCATCTCTAATGGTCATACATTTACAAGAACACACTACGTCATCCCTAATGGTCATACTTTTACAAGAACACTCAATGTCATCCCTAATGGTCATACATTTACAGGAACACACAATGTCATCCCTTATGATCATACTTCTACAAGAACACTCAATGTCATCCCTTATGGGTATACTTCTACAAGAACACTCAATATCATCTCTAATGGTCATACTTCTGCAAGAACACTCAATGTCATCTCTAATGGTCATACTTTTACAAGAACACACTACGTCATCTGTAATGGTCATACTTTTACAAGAACACTCAATGTCATCTCTAATGGTCATGCTTTTACAAGAACACTCAATGTCATCTCTAATGGTCATGCTTTTACAAGAACACTCAATGTCATCTCTAATGGTCATACTTCTACAAGAACACACAAGGTCATCCCTTATGGTCATATTTTTACAAGAACACTCAATGTCATCCCTTATAATCATACTTCTACAAGAACACATGATGTCATCCCAAAATGGCAATACTTCTACAAGAACTTTCAATGTCATCTCTGATGGTCATACTTCTACAAGAACACTCAATGTCATCTCTAATGGTCATACTTCTGCAAGAACACACAATGTCATCCCTTATAATCATACTTCTACAAGAACACACGATGTCATCCAAAAATGGCAATACTTCTACAAGAACACACGATGTCATCCCCGATGGTCATTCTCCTACAAGAACACACAATGTCATCTCCAATGGTCTATATTCTACCAGAACACACGATGTCATTCCTAATGGCCATTCTTCTACCAGAACACACGATATCATTCGTAATGGCCATACTTCTACCAGAACACACGACGTCATCCCTTATGGACATTGTTCTTCATACACACAATATCTCCGCAACAGTACAATCCTCATAGCTCAACATTCAACCCCAGTATGTTACTGTTTATGATTGTAATGAATATATAATGTGCTCCCTTCGCTATATGTCTTAGACATTGCCGACGCAACGTTACATTTTCGTTCATAGTTATGTACTTACCTTCGCACAAATCCAACCCATCGTCCATGTATTCGGCGGCATAGCGACCAGCTATCACTTGACCACGATTCATGCCATTCAGGTCACAGAGGGCAAACCGCACATAGTCGTATTTACAGATCTCTTTTTGTACTTCCTCAAATTTCGACATTGTCACTGTGGCTAACCTGCAAAAGTGGATCATATATTATTAAAGGGTGAAGATTATGTATTATGTGAGTTTTTTACATCAGTATTTGATGACAGATTTCACCCGTGGGATGATGGGTAGAATGTATCCCCAGCACCCTTTTCTTGTCAAAAGAGTAATTCCGGGTTTGAATGGTTCCCAAACAATCTATGCGCTGGTCGTAAGAAGTTATTTAATGGATCGGTTGGTCGTTGTTCATGATATCAACAGCTGGCTTGTCTGGTCCAGATTCGATTATTTACAGGCCGCCCTCATTTAACTAGAATATTGATGAGTGCATACACACATGATAACAAATTGAATATATTGCTCAGCTGTATGCAACAATATTCCATTTATATCACAGAGGCCTGTAATGTAGTCTAGATCCGACACACCAATGACTGTTATCGTGAGCAACGTCCAATTCAAGCTATATCGCGACAGTCTGCTCCTTCTACTCTTTATCATCAAGTAATGACCTGAAAAAACGCATGTATCAATTGACGATTACAAAACAAATGTTTGGGCCGAGACATATAAAACTTAACATGCTTGCTCAACCGTCATTGTATGCAACAATACTAAATCTATCGACATAAGAAATAAACTGAGGCAGTTTCAGTTCAAAAGACTAGTGTGTAAGTGAACTGGGCTTTTAGCATCGCTTTAAACAGTATTTCAGTTATATCACTGTGTGTCAGCAGTAGAGGAAAACTTAGTAGTTCGTGACAACAAGAGCATTTACCTCCCAATTTCAAAGGAGAGCGATGAAGCGCGAGCGAGTGGACAATGGAGGGGGGTACTTGAATGTGCGTTAGACCGTTGAAACCTCCCTAAAGATGTGGTAACAATGGGGACAAAGGATGGTATTGATACAAGCGGAGTGAAGGTGTTGACACAGGTGCTCGTCGTCTGCTAGCGGTTTCCCGTTCGTCGTCTGCTAGCGGTCCCCCCCCCCCCCGTCTTCAACGGGTTAGATGCGAATAAGAAAAAAGATCGTCTGCTTTTGGACAGTCGTCTGCTGGTTTTTTAGAGACAGTTGTACGCAACGAACATGTCTTAATTAGTCTACAGGGTGTGTGTTGAAAGTACAATCATACCACAATAGAGACGGGAAGTGTCAACATGATATACGCCGGGTAATGTAGGGAAAAAAAATATGTACGTCTAGCTGGATCAAATTCATCTTGTACGGTCTACACGTTGTACACCATGAACGTTAGACAACGTGTATGGAAAAAACATAGAAGAAATAGATAAGACTACACAATCAGCAAGCTAGCAGTGTCGTTTAATTACATTTAGCGCGCAAGAACGAGGTAGTCACGTCACCCTGCATTGACTATAACGCTGAAGGCAGCCGGATTTCGAATCACCCCGCGCTGCGTACTATTGTGAATCATTTGTAAAGAATTATTCAGCCCTGTCCCGACTTGCATAGTTGATGTTTCAACGCTAGCCTTTTTCTTTTAACGCGATGACAAATAAATAGTACGGTTTGAGTTTTAACCGTGTAACATGATGTGCACAGTTTTACTTCAGAACGTGCTATTTTGAAAATAGATAGAAAACTGATAAGTACATGTACCAGTGTGACGGTACGAAGCTAGGTTTGTTGGGAAAGTGATGGAAGCAATCTATAGGACATTTTCATGTTTACAATACTCACCCTTAATTCGAAGAGAGAACAGAGTTTATTATGGAAAATTGTTTGACGAGGAAAATGTTTTATTGGAAATATATGTCGAAGCAGGTTTTTTCATAGCTAATGTAGAGCAGAGAGACTAAGCGACCGACCGCCCATAACAATGTCAACATACACTACCCCGGCCTTACAATTAATGTTAACATACCAGCCTCGCCTGAAGCTTCCCTTTCATAAATTGTGTGAGCAGTGTCCCGTATTCATGATATGTCAGGGAAGATGTGTTGTACATTTGTTATTTTTAAAGGGAGTTATTTCAGAGAGGATATATATGGGTATTCCCCCTCATTAAACCTTTCTTTCGTTGGTGTCTATTAAACGTATCCGATATTTAATACATTTGAATGATGTAGGTAAGTATGTGCGTGTAGATGTTGTACCTATATCCGAACACGAATGTATCACACCTTTCAATAGATCAATTACGGTTCTAACCACGACACGCAACATGACTATGAGCGTGGTTAGCAGTTTTATATTTATAAACACATCGTAAATGACAGATTTCTGATGAATGAACTCGCCCGCACACATGTATATAGGGTTATGTTCGCCCGAACTGTAAACAGTGACACATTGATAACAGGAAGGGTGTGTGGAATGCACTCGTCCTTGTAAGGGTAAAATACGCGTTTAAACTCACCATTTAAATGATGACATTACTTTTTAGATGTATTGGTATCAGTGAGTGAGTGAATTTAGTTTTACGCCACACTCGGCATTATTCCAGCTCTAGGACGGTGATCTGTCAATAAACGAGCTTGGACCAGACAATCCAGTGATCAACAGCATGAGCAGCGATCTGTGCAACTAGGAACCGATGGCACGTGTCATCCGAGACGGCGAGACTGACCAACCGATCCCCGTCAGTCGCCGATAAGCATGGGTTACTGAAGGTCGATTCTATAACCCGGGACCTTCACGGGTGTAGTATGACGAAGACTATATACTAATATGCAAAAACTGAGAAAAAACAAACAATTCATTCATTCGTTTCATTTATTGATTCGAGTCAATCGGTTCCATACAAAGCCGTGATATACGAATGGACAATAGTATTCACTCTGGAACATTATTTAGTCACTCATATACACATGCTGCTGCTGCTCGAAGGCCCTATTGTTTAAACAGCGAGTCCATGTTTTGAAACAAATTTCGCACTGTTGAATGTTTCCTTTTCTACGCTGTTTTAAGGTTGAATGGTTGTCTATAGTCTATGCTTTATCCATTGCTTGTAACGATTTCCGTCCAGGAGGTCCCAGTTTCACCATTCCTCTCACGTAGAGGGAAATTCGGCGTTTCTTATCGTGCAAACGCCTCAGTTTACGAGGTGTTTTCAAAATATGAATCAAACTAGACGCGTGGCGTTGACTCGGCATTCTCTTCTGACTGTTAGACTGATATAGTAGTGATGGGTATTTATGCCTAATCGTTCTGCTCACGATCATCATCCTCCTCCTCGTCATCACCGTCGTTATCCTCTGCAACGCTATCAGATTCAGTCTCACTTTCTATTTCCGGCATATCCATCAAAGGCAGGATCTCTTTCATCTTGGGTTTTAGGAGGAGTTTGATTTTATTTTTGAGAACGGATTGTTCCGTGGAAGGATTCATGTCTCCCAGGTTGTATAGCATGTTTTGAAACAGAGGTGCCTCTTTAAAGTACGTGGTATATTCCATCGCATAGTTGAGAGTACTATGCACTAGATCCTCCCACCTCAGTTTCAATCTTCTCTCAATCCATTCTTGCGTTCGTCCCTGTTGCTTGTACTGTTTTTTCTGCAGTTTCATCTTGTCATGAAACGTATCGTACACCTGCTTCCAGATGCGTTGTAAGCCTACATTTTGCCACTCCTCAGCTTCCATATTAGTGAATGTTGACTTCCCACGTGGAGGTTTGACGGCAAGACCACTGCCTTTCTTGGAAGAGGCTAGGTCGTCAAAGTCACTGTCATCGTCATCACTCTCGAGTCTGGCACGCTTTCTCTTAGGTTGAAGGCTATTGGCCGGACACCAGTGTTTGATATGTCGCTGTAGATCGTGCATGTTATCTATCAGCAGTAAACAGCCGCGAAATACGCTTGTCGTGCTTTGCTTCGGCCAGGAAATCATCCAGGACCAACACGTTCTGTTGACGAGCATCAAAGTAATCCTCGTCCAAGATATGGTAGGGAATTCCTTTTACAAAGGTCAGCTGAGGCAGCTGCTCACCGAGGTCCTTATATAATGGCTGCCATTGAGTATAACACCAAACGATGCGGGTAGGTTAGGGTTGGATGAGGCCATGCCGGAGAACATGAGAGGTAAACACAGACTTTCCACAACCACTGGGTCCCACAACGAGCGCATTTGAGGGAATCAGGAACTTGAATTGTTCTCGAAGATCAGATATACATGGTAAATGAGGCAGCCACGAGTGGACTTGCGATGGCGGCGGCGGCGGATGTGCTTGAAACGGCGGGTTGGCTTGACGCAGCGGCGGCGGTGGGTGGACTTGCGGCGGCGGCGGCGTTAGCGGGTGGGCTTGTAATGGCGGGTGGATTTGCGGCGGCGGCGGCGGCGGTAGTGGATGGGCTTGCGGCGGCGGCGTTAGCGGGTGGGCTTGTAATGGCGAGTGGACTTGCGGCGGCGGCGGCGTTAGCGGGTGGGCTTGTAATGGCGGGTGGATTTGCGGCGGCGGCGGCGGCGGTAGCGGATGGGCTTGCGGCGGCGGCGTTAGCGGGTGGGCTTGTAACGGCGGCGGCGGCGGTATGCTATGTTTATTTCTCCTGTGTCGTAACATGACATCTCTCCTTGAAAACATTTGTTCACAGACCGGACAGGTGGCAACCCCCATGGTGATCCAATACGGTGTGCGATTAGAGGGTATGAAGCTTTCTTTTATACCCTTGACTCTGTTGACGCTTCAAGGCAGCAAGTGCCCGTTCCACCACAGCCTTCACCTCCGTCACATGTTGTATTTTCACGGGTTGGGGTGTTGTCTTCGATACCTGTTTGGTTGTCATCGTTTTCATTTTAGGTGTTACCTGTCTCTTCTTTGTCTTCAGCGTCGACTTCTTGGCTGCTTGTGGTTTCTTTCTCTGTTGTGATTTTCTCATCGTAGTCTTCCTAAATATATCTCTAGGGTCAAATCTAATCTCTGATGCTTTCTTCATGTTGTTCACGTCCAATACGTTTGCTGGCGAGAGTAAAACTGTTTGTCGGGCTACACTACTGTAGAGTTTATACTGTCTTACACGTGCAGGGAATCTTGGAAGACACTCTTTTCTCCACAGCACACTTGTGAGTAT